TCTGGTGATTGGCGCGAACCAGATCGATCTTGCTGAAGATCGTCTTACCTGTGAGGCATGCGGTAAGGTCCTGCATGTGTGGGATAGGATACCTATCTGGGACGGTTAGGCGATTGAGTGCGCGGTAATCACCGCAAGGGCGCCAGTCACCAGATTTCTTGGGGACCATCTGCAGGGGCGAGGACCAAGGGCTGTCGGAAGGGCGGATTATTCCAGGTTCACGTATGTGCTCAAACTCCGCCCTAGCTACTTTTAGTTTCTCAGGCGATAGTCGGCGTGGACGGCATGACACAGGTGGGCCATTCGTCCGTATGTGGTGCGTGACTTGAGCTGCCATGGGCAAAGCTACGTTCATTGGCTGAACGAGCTTGGGATACTGAGAAAAGAGATTAGCGTAGACTGACGAGGTCTGGGGAAATGCATAGACCGGGGATATAGATGGGACATCGGCGGTGATGCCACGTACGCTGAGTTTTGTTGCAGTGTCGACTATCATCTGGCGTTTCGCATCGACCAAGAGGTCGAAATGCCTGAGAAAGTGAATGCCGATGATGGCAAAGGGGACTGCAGCGACGGTGAATACCCAGCGGAACGTGCGCCAAAGACCTAGGTCCAGGGTAAGTAACCATTGACCATAGGTGGGTATTGGCGTGCCATTGGCGGCACTGAGGCTTGTCGACAGAGAAGTGGTAGGCTCACCCGGCATAGGGGGAATGACGCTGACTTCCGCCCCGGTATCAACTAAGAACTGGGTATCGGAGTCATAATCCCTAATGTCGATGAGACGACTTTGAGCTTTGCCGACACCGTTAGTTGCCATTACGTGCCGGCCTGGAAGTTCCCCTGCTTGGAGGCGGAGAAACTTCATGGTTGCTGGCACTTGCGGGCTTTGTTACCGAAACGCGTGTGGTAAAAGCAAAAGTCTGAATTGTTAGGCTTCGTATGGCGAGTTGATGAGTTAGAGCGGCTGCGCTGCTTACGAGCTAGGGAGAGTTTCTCGACCTCACGTTTTAATGACGCTATTTGCGATGATAAGACGTCGATTGCCGACGGCTCACTAGTCGCGTATGTCGCCGGGGCTGTGACGGGGCTAAGTCGAGTGAACGTCCTAGATTCGTTCGCTGGCTGATGTCGTTCCATGACACGATCTGCTAGTTCTGCAACTGTTGTGAGAGGCAGGGCGCTTGCCACGGCAAGGAGGGCTTGTGTGCTCTCTGGGAGACGTTGCATCCACATTTCGCGGAGAATACCTTCATCCATGCTGGATGTGCCTAGGAGCTGTTGCATTAGTCGCAACAAGGCTAAAGTCATCCTGTCCCCTAGCTGCAGATCCCTAAACAGTTGCTGCAGTCGGACCTTGTCAGAGGGCGTGATTCGCTGAATGATCGCCTGCTTTAAAGTGTCATATTTCGCATCGGGGGGCGGGCAAGCTATGATGTCCCTCACTTGGGAGGATACGCTTTGCTGGAGCCGGGACATAAGCCGATGATATTTAGAATTATCAGCTGAAATTTTACAATTGTAAAAAGTCGATTCTAAATTTGCAAGCCATAACAACGGGTCATTCTCCCAAAAAGGTGGGGAGGCTAGCTCTACGGCACCAACCACATACGTAGAGGGTTTATCATCAGCACTATTCATCGTGAGAAATGAATAATTATATGCGGCAAGTGAGAAGACAGAACGATAGCGAGTAATGAATCAGAAAAGCACTGGAACGAGCTCACCAGAATGAAAATTCACAATGGCGGCCGGCGTGTTCCGGACAGGGGGTCACCAATTGTTGGGCGGAGCCTGGGATACTAGTCGGTAAGCAATGACACGTATTACGTGTCAAATACGACAGTATAGAAGTCGGAGGCGACTGAACCCAACGTATATTGTACAGGCTACAAGAATAGGAAGCGAATCAGACAGAGCGAGAAACGTGCAGCGAGGTACTCACCAAAACGGTTTGTGACAACGGATGCGCAGTCAGTAAAACAAATGGACGTTTTGAAGGTTAAAACAACCGTAAAATCCAATGTTACAAAATACTGAAAGAGCTTGTTTTCCGGTACACTACACATATTTCGCGAACGTTTGACTCAGGGAGCGTTTTCCTGCCGACCATTAATTACACATTTCTGGTTCAGTTATCGCTCCGAGATCATGGGGAACACTTAAGCTATCGATAAATTACGGTTCCTAAGGTGTTTTTATCGAATTTTCATGGGGTTATGCAACTTCTCTTCCTTACTCCAAAAATGCAATAGTAACCAATCACAACAATCAACACCGCGTCGGTTGTGTCGCAACCTCATGGAAACCGCAAAGCTCATCATGGGTGTCACTGTACACCTTGTTGTGATTTCGATCCACCCACGCATGCGTATTGCCACATTCCGTTCCTTTTCTTGTCGTTTTGCTCTCTTCAGGTGCGTGATAACGTTTTGGTCGAACTTCCAGATTCGATTGGAACTTTAGTAAATTTGAAGACTCTCATACTAAGGTATGTCGGTCTGCTGGTTCTGTTTTCTATACCAAGCTATGTTCTTGCTTTCTTATTTATTCGAAACAGTTAGTTCCATTCAGTAATTTGGACAACGTAATAAAAAGACGAACGTTCGCAGTTGCTAGCATTTCGTATTATCTCCTCAGTACGAATACAGTAACCGGGAAGTCTTTTTATAGTGTCATAGTGCATAATCAAGCCAATCACCTTCATAGTTGTGGTCATTTTTGTTGACATTAGGACCACGAAAACCGCAACTTGACAACTAATTGCTTTTGGGCACATAAAGCTAATGTAATTCGGCTTATCGCAATGACCTCGGCAAATCGCAAAAAGCGTGTACTTGTATGACGCAATATGATCCGAAACGCTGGTAAGAGATCCGGTGACAGGTCGCCAGAATGTGCCTGCCTATGGATAACGATCCATTGAGTGACCAAACCCAAATCAGACCATATCATCCCACTGTGTGTACTCATTTGTTATAATCTGCTTATTTGGAATTCATCATCATACACGTTAGCCAGAGATGGGGAATACCTCAGCTACTGTGCCGCAATACAAAGAAAAAAATGAGAGAGAAAAAGAAAACAACTGGTGAAAGCTGGCTGAGCTACCGGTAACGGATGGGCATCGTTCCGGTAAGCTACCAGCCGGCTACTATGCTGCAAAAAATTATTATGCAAAATTATATATGGCTAAGTAATGAGATCGTGGTTGGAGGGGGAGGCTAAGAGGGATGGGGTGGGACAAAGAAACTGGGAATTAGTCACTCAACGAACAGCACGTATTTTTCGAGTGTGTTTAGGCCCGTTCGACGGGACTTGAAGGCCTTAAGGACCATCTTACGAGTTCTGTGACGGATCATGATTTCCTTACGGAGGAATTTGATAACGCCATGGCTTCATTTAGCAGAGAAGAAGTATAGAAAACCATTTTTTCCGTTTCGTTGCATCAACTTACACTTAGCTCCATCGACTAATCAGTTGGGACAGCATAGTTCATCCTCCGTTGCAGTGCACAGGTCGAAGTATACGTGCTAAACGGAAGGTTTACTTCATTATACACGTTACCTGCAGGTGGAAAAACGTCTCGGCTATTGTGCCGCAGGTCCACCTACTACGGAATCGGTCAGGCAGAGCTTACCTTCACGGAATTTGAAACGTTCACTGTGTACTCACAACAGTCAGTAGGAAGATCGTCTCACCTTTCAAGGGACCGATAAGAATGCTGGATTCCGTCGACTGATTCAGTTTATATTACTCGTAAGTAGCAGGATCTTAGTTGTAATTTTGGTAAGGTATTCATCCCGATAGTTCACAAGCTACATAGCACAGCCTAGTCCGGAAAAGCGCCAGACGCGTTTCAACCTATTGGGGCACGTCAGTGGTGCGCATTCCCTCGGTCCCCCAATGGGGACCGAACCAATGACCGCTAGACGCAGATGCCAACTAGCCAGCAGCTTAAGCCATTTTAGTTTTGTTAAACAACTATAGTCCTGGCACTGAAGGCTAGTGGGTTCAGTGTCCACAGCTGGTGTCGCGAGGATATGAATGGGCAACCATGACGAGAATTATGATGTATAACTCAAATGGGGTAGGAGAATAGAGGGGAATAAAATTCGCCGGACTGAAGCGCTTACAACTCGATGCAAGTGCTTGAATGCAGGACCGCGACTGAACGTTGACAGATAAGATGTTCAACGATTCACGTGGCCCCAATCCACGAGGACGGCACACTGGCCTGACTTAGTATCTTACGATGAAATTTGGAACAGAGCATAATAAAACATGTAAAAGGATTTAATAGTGAGTGAATAAACGGAACAATTTTTATCGTTTTACACACGTCTTTTTGTGATTTTTATGTCAGTGGTTTCGTAAACGTGAAATCAGGCAGACTTGTATACATAGCTTCCACTGCGACCGGTTTTGCGCCATTGCTTCCAATGTTGTGAGCCATTGGCATTCTTCATCTTTGAGTCCCCAAGCCGGGGAATCGAATTAGACCAGCGATGGCCATGTAAGATGCCATCGATTTCATGCATTGTCGCCAGATGGGCGGTTGACCTCCACTTGACCTTTTCCAAAGTAACCCTGCGTACGCAAACAGGGCACGATGTGGTAGACACTTGTTAAGCATGTGCAGGACGTGACTAAACCATCTTTATTGACGCAGACGGACGACATCACAAAGCAGAACATCCGCCTTACCAAAGACGCGGTGTCTATCGTCATCGTTACCCACTCGGTGTTGCCAACATACTTGGACACTCCTCCGCAAACAGCTACTGTCGAAGGCCGAAAGACTACGCATGTCTTCCACACGGATTGGCCAGGATTCGCATCCGTACAGCAATGTCGCGCGTACACAGGCTTTGTAAACCCTGTCTTTTAGCGAGAGTGAAATGTCGCGACGGCGCCACAAATGTCTTAAGTTGGCAAACGCTGACTGGGCTTTGGCGATACGAAGGGATACTTCTGCTCCGATAGTGCCGTCGGCAGAGACGTAGCTCCCTAGGTAGATAAAACTGTCTACGTTTTCGAGCTGTGTGTCTTCGATGGAGAGTTGTGGAAGGGGTGCCTGTCAGTCCTGTAAAAGAACTTTGCACTTGGAAGAGGCAAAACACATACCAAAGTTAGACCCTTCAATCACCAGTCAATAAATGATCGATTGCATCTCATGGGGGTCCTCACCGAGCAAGACGATATCATCAGTGCAGTCTAAGTCGCTCGCGCGATTACTTGGAAGAAGCTCGATGCCGTAAAGTTGAATAGAAACGGTGACATTGGGCATCCTTGTCGCACGCTACTGGAGACAGGGAAGAATGGAAAAAGCATGCCATAGACTCTCACTCGTCCTGTAGTGTGGAGATATAGCGCGCGATGTATAGCGACTTACCTTTTCGGAACTCCATACTTCAGCAGACAGTTCCATAAAGCAGGTCGATCTACCGAGTCGAACCTAGTTCGAATATCCAGGAAAGTGATGAAGGTGGGTCTGCGGTTGAGGTGACGATGCTCCAGGAGTTGGCAAAGAGTGAAGATTTTATCCACACATCCTCGGCCGGGACGAAAACCAGCCTGCTCCTCCCAGTAATCTGACTCGCGAGTGGGGGATAACATGCGGAGCATGATGGATGCTAATGGCTTGGAGGCAACAGATATCAGACTAATGCCCCTATAATTGGTACACGAAGTGTGAGAACCTTTCTTAAAGATTGGAACAATGCTTAACTCCCTCAGGAAGAGAGGACCCTTTCTTCCTGCCAGATCTTCAGCAACAGGGACTTCAGCTGCTTGATGACTGCTGTACCGCCGTATTTGAACAAGTGGGGGAAGTTCATCTAAGCCGGCCGCCTTGAAGCACTTCAAGTGACCAATCACAAGACATACCTCCTCTTCTGTTGGCGCTTCGAGTGGTACTAACCGTGGCATGTGACTGGGTGTACTAAGTATAAAGGTGGATGGCGAAGAACAACTGAACTGAGTCTGGAACTGCCCAGCCCATCTGTCCATGTGTCTCTGCAAATGACTGATTTGTGTCCCGTCCGCCTTACAGATGACCTCGCTGATACTAGACATGCTTTGTCCAGTGGTCCGAATGAGCTGAGACAGGTTGCAGGTGTTTCCAGTGAGGGCGACGGCTTCTATCTCCAAGGCGCGTTGAGACCACCAAATTTCCCGATCGCTGCGAAGTCTTTGTTTGAATTATCTGCTGGTAATACTGCCAACTTCCTTTTGATCTGGGTTTACTGAGAGAGTTCGACAGCAGTCGAATGGTGTCAGGGAACGCGCCGATATCCAACCCTTCAACGGGTGATGTGATAACCCACAGACCAATTGACTTGAAGTTAGCATTACTTACTGTAATAACTTCCAGTGGTGTTCAATATCATTGGGCAGGACACAGGCTAGTGTGCTTGCCAGTGATAGTTGATAGTCTTGCTGAGCCGACTGATCAGCTAGCCTGTTCGTCTCAAGCTTACAAAACCCCCGTTTCTGATTTCCTCCGAATCTCATACAAATGTTGGCACAGACCAGTGCATGATGTGAATCGAGATAGGTAGATCAAAATGACCTACAGTCTAATATGCTACCGCGCCACCTGAAATTGATTACAATGTGGTATATTTGGGTCCAAGCCTGCAACGGTGAAGGACGACGCCAGGTGGCATAACCTCTCATCGGGTACCTGAAGTTTATGCTTGCGAGAAATAGGCTATTGTCTTCGCACGTGGGCTGATACTGCAAGCGCACCCATACATAGACAGGAGGACGATTAGGGTCCTCAACCAAATCCTTTGGCACAAAAGCTTGTCCTCAAGGAAGCAGATATGGTAACGATTCGGTTTTACAGGAATGCACGCCATTGCATTTCAAACACTTAACCTCCAGGACCAGGAGACTGAATTCATCTGACCTCTAGCCGTTGACCAACCTGGTAGGAGTAGCTCTTAAGATGCCCAAGGGCCCCACCCAGTATAGCTCAATGGGTCGACGAGGTACGTGAACCGTCACACCACGTTAAGCGTCAGCATCGTTGTGACGGGGTCCAATCTCGTTGCTCATTTACCCTGGCAGTTTATCTCCTCAGCTGATAGAATCACTCTACGGATTACTGAACGTGTCGGAAGCGTCTCTTTGTGGCTTCCCGGCCTCCTAGCCACGCGCGTAGCAATAGCGAGCGGGTTAAAAACTATTCGTACTACCTTTGCCTTTCGGTCTGTACTCGCTTCTTACCCACCTGTTGATCGCTTTTACGAGTTTGGTAAAGAGATCGCATACGTTTCACCACCATGCGAGGTGGCATCTTCAGTGCGATAATAGGCAGTGTATAAGGCTGCTTATTGAATTGTCAGTCCGTCATCCACGGGCAGATGACTTTTGAAGGTGCCAATTTCGATTTGCGCCACGTGATCTCTGCCCATTTGCTTCCACGGCTGAACCACGTCTTACGGTTCGCCGGAGATCTTTCTTTCTGAGTTGATGGTACAC